GTCCTTGCTGGGAAAGCCCTTCGGAGGGGCTCTTGCCTGGGCCGGGCCGTGTGTGCTTGGGTTACGGAAATGGGGGAAGGCAGCTGGATGGACAGTCGTCCCAGATGAGGGGTCCGTGTTCCAGGAGCCCTTTCTCTCATCCCCTCTGCTGGGCCTCTGCCTCCGGCGTCCTTCCTCAGCCTGCTGGCTGCCTGCTTCCCTGCGGCCACTTCCTGTGGCCGCCGCAACCAGTTACCACAGACTTGGTGGCTTAAAACCACAGAAATTAACTTTCTCACAGTGGGACCTAGTTTCTTTGGGGCCGTCACGCAGAGCCTCCAATCTGCTCTTCACACGGCAGAAAGGGTTCCCTGAGACACCGCTGCACGAGTGACTCAGGCACATCTCCGCCTCAAGGCGCCCGCAGGGCCCCTGCAGCAGTGTCCTGGCTGGCGGGGCCCTTGGGAGCTGCTCCCCGGGCTGGTCCTCAGCGCAGCCTGGGGGCAGATGCTGCTCCTCCGGTGGGGAACCCGAGGTACAGGGAGGGGGCGAGGCTCCCCTCCCTGACCCCCTGTGCCCCCCCTGCTCCCCTCCCGCCCCACTGCCCTCCCCGCCCCGCTGTGGCCCCTCCTGCCCCTCTCCCTGCCTCCCCCCACCCCGAGCCCCTCGCTGGCTCACTGCGTGTCCGCGGCCTGCTCTGAGGTGCGGAGAACTCTCTGCCTGGGTGGGAGGCTCAGACATCAAGAGGCTAATGCTTTACAGCTGGAGCCCCATGGGGTAGGGGACCATTATCACGTCCCCATTAAGGTGAGAACACCGGTGCTCAGAAACGGAAGTGACATCCTGAGTCCTGCTCTGTTAAGAGGACAGTGGAGAGCCCAGATCTGGCCCCTCTGCCCACCCCAAGGCTGGTTGTTGGGCTCTGGGTGGGGGCCCGCCTTCCCCACCTCGGCTGCTGTCACCTTTCTGGGATTTCTGAGTTCAGGCTGTCTCCTATCTTCCCAGCTGGTTCATGGGACGGCGGCCCGAGTACACAGACCCCAAGGTGGTGGCTCAGGGGGAAGGCCGGGAAGGTAAAACTTGACCCCCCCATCCCCCAGGCAGGTGGGACCAGGTGGGCCCCCCCGCAGTCAGATGGCTGGATGCCAGGGACCCGCCAGCACACAGATGCAGGGGCAGGGCCCAGCCTGGAGGGGTTGCCACGTCCGTCCGTCCCCTGTCCCCACCGCAGCCCCTTCTGCCGTTCAGGGGCGCGGGCCCAGCTAACGCTGCCCTTCTGTCCTCAGTGACCCGCGTCCGCTCCCAGGGCTTCGTCAGTCTCCTCTTCAACGTGGTGACCAAGGACATGAGGAAGCTGGGCTATGACACCGGGCCTCCGGACACACAGGGGGTCTCGGGGCCCAGCACGCCCCAGGGCCTCCCCCGGTGAAGGTATTGGCCCCCTGAAAGGCCCAGCGACCCACCTGCCTGACGTGCGCCGGGGGTGGCCGGTGTTTGTGTAATAAAGTGGTACCTTTTCACAGAATCTCTCCCTGCAGCAACTGCCCTGGGAGCAGGGCCCCGGGGCCAACGCGGGCCTTGGTGGGCACAGCCCGGGGTGGAAGCTGCACCTGGACAGAAGCCAGCAGCCGAGCCTGGGCTCAGCCTGATCCCGGGCTCACGGCTGGGCGGCCCTCACACCTCGACACGCTCGTCCCTAAAGCCAGCGTGTTGTCCACCAAACAGGCGATCCGGGCAGAACCTCCCTTGGATGGAGAGGCCCGTGGCAGCCCAGAGGATGGGCTGCAAGCCTCCCCAAGGTGGGCAGCGCCGCGGCTGGAGAGCTCCGCCTGCCCTCGGCCCTCCTGGGCCGCCTGACCCCCACCGGCAGCTTCTGGGGAGCCCTCTGGCCAGAACACCGGGCTTGCTCAGGGTCCTCCCCTCAGCAGGATTTGAGGGGAGCCCTGCAGCCTGAAGAGCCCACCTTAGCCACCACCCACTGCCCGGCTGTCACGGGGACCTGCCTTTGTCCCAGTTCCCCCATAAACTCAGGGCCCCCAGCTCACTGCGCGCTCTGGAACCATTCGCCCATCCCCAGCATCCTGACCCTCTTTACGTGGAACCTTCCCTCCCCCTCTGGTCCCCCTGCTCCGCAGAAGCATCTGCCGCGTCCCCGTCCCAGCTCCCTCGACGCCCTGGCCGTCAGACCACACCGCGTCCACCACGGACTCCACCGCCTGTCTGCTCGTCCAGCGGCCCTGGCACGTCACCAACCGCATGGACAGCCCTTCCCGAGACGTGGCCTCTTCCTCAGCCCCCTCCCTCTCCCTTGTAATGATCTTGGCCTGTGCCCCCGGCAGCCCCCAGACCCCTCCTTCCCCTACGCTCAGGCTCACACAGGCACCGAGACCAGGACGGTGGCCTTGTGAACCGCAGGCCAAGCTGGACTCCAGGCAGGAACCACTCCCAAGCGCGCGCCTCTCCCGATGCCTCGGGATTGATAAGGGTGGGGGGTGGGGGCAGGGGAAGGACACAGCCAGAAACCGCATCGTGATACAAATGATAAATTATATTTATACAGTAAATAATTATCAACAGTCAACACAAGTTCCAAACCGGCCACCCGCCCCTGGGACTGAGAAAACGGCTGGGCAACACCCCTACCATGGTGCCCGGCAGGAGGGAGCTTGATGGCATGTGTCCCACACGCGTGGCAGCACCAGTGGCTTCATGATCAGTGCAACGGGGCAACATGGACGAGGCGCCTGGGGGTGGGCCTGAGCCGGAAGCTGGGCGGGAGTCTGCCTGGGCCTGGGTGGGCCACTGGCTGTGACATCGGGGCCTTAAAGTCCCATCGGGAAGGGCCCCTCACTCTCACGAGGAATCATGACCCCAGTAGCGTGGTCCTGTGCCCCGTGAGGGGGTCGGCCCCTACCTCCCGGGGGGAGCACCTTGCCCCGAGCCCCGCCCTGCCCCACCCTCCCCCAGGCTGCTGGGAGAGGCTGGACAGGCCTTCGTGGATGACTCTGGAGCTCATGGTCCAGCCCCAGGTCTCAGGGGCTGGGTGGTGGGCAGGAGCTCTGGGCCAGGGGTAGCCCCAGGGAGGAGCACGGGTGAGCTCTTGTACATGGCAACAGGAGTGGCCTGAGCAGGCAGTTCTGAGTCAGCCTCCGTGCCCAGCGCCAAGGGTCAGAGCTCCTGGAACCAGAGAGGGGGGAGGGGCCCCATCCCCCCAGGAGAGGCCCCCAGCTGTCAGCTGCCCTTGGTGCTAGAGGTGAGACGTCCACCATGTAGAGTGAGACTGAGGTGCCTGCCAGGCCGGCTGACCAGATAGACACAGGACTCGGGGGAAATGGCCCTTCCCTAGGGAGAAGCAAGTCTCTTCTGGTCTTTCATTTGTGACTTACCTAATACTTTTTTATAGTGGTGGGCGGGGTGAGGAAAGCAGGGGAGAGGGAGGTAAGATGAGTGCACGTTCGCTAAAAATCTCTTCTGGGTGAGAATGATTTTTCTTCCTCTGCCAAGTAAGAGATGATTACTTCTACGTCACAACGGGTATCTGGAGGGCGGGTGCGTAGGTCAGGGCCAGCCCTGGGCCCTCCCCATGTCAGCCTGGGCTGCCCCCGACATGCCGCCCCCCTCGCTGTCCCCGCCTCTACCCTGAGTGTGGAGTAAGATAGAGGGGGTCACAGACACAGGGTTCCAGAAGCCTCTCCTTCCCACGTTCCCACTGTAAACGAAGTCTTGTTAACTGTGCATGCCTTCAGTCACAGAAAGGAGTTAGCTGATAAAACCTGGTGAGTCACATTCATATGTTAGATTTGTTTTGTCTTTTAACTTTCTTCACGTTGGTTCATCAGTAAGAAAAATAGCCTCTCTCTTAGGATCTAGCCAGAAAGGCTGCAAGTCAATCAGTTTGGTAATCCACCAAAAAAAGGAGTTAAAGGGAAAGGCAACTGGAGGCTACGATTTTTTGTTACTGTTGTAGTTTTCTCTTTTTTTTTTTCCTTTTAAATAAACGTTTTTTATGCATAATCAAATTCCCATCTGTTTTCCTATAGAGAATTTGCTTTAGTTTTTCCATAAGGCATTTTTTTGTCTCTTCCTATTTAAAGTTTCTTACAGAGTTAAAACCATAAATAAGAGGATTTACACCACTAACGTGACGCTGCCAATATCTTAACCCAGCCAGACCTGGTAAATTCTATCAAAACTAGACAGTTAAATAAGAACGACGTTATAAAAATATTAGCCAAAAAAGACTATTCGATAATTCTGCAAACAAATATGAAACTGTACTAAACAAAATCTGTGCAAACGTGTACAAGCATGGAGCACGTGGCAGGGTTATGCTCAGGTTAGTTTAAAGCTTGCTCTAGTGGATTTAATTCAAGAGTTGTTCCACGGTGGTGGCATTTACTTTGAACTCACACATGAGTCAAAGAAAAGTAAAATATGCACAACCGCGTCCCCCAAAGGTCAGTGTCTGAGGGAGCCCGCACTCCATCCCGTCCACGCCTGGGGGGGGTCGCCAGGGCTGGGGGTGGGGGCCAGGTCCTGGGCAGGGGGGCTCCCAGAGGCCCGGGGCTGAGGCTGGGCCAGCACTGAGCACTGCCACCTCCTCATCCAAGGCTCCCGAGGGCCGGCGGATCTCCACGGGGGCCGGGCCTGCGGCCAGGCTGGGTCAGGGGTCCTCCCGCCCGACACAGGCTTGGGGACCCACGTGCCGCGTGATGACGCCTCAGTAAGCCCGCCACCTCTCGACCCTCAGGCTGAGGGCCAGGGCCGCAAAGACACCCTCTGCACACCCACCCCACTCTCAGACCCCATTCCACGGGCGAGAGCCCCTGCCCAGCGTCCTCGGCACGGAGGCTCTGCGGC